AGTCATTAAATGAATTTAGCTTCATGTTAAAGATCAGGATATCACATCAGAACTACGTAGCAGTATATGGCTGCCTACAAGCAGACAGATAAATATAGAATTTCAGAAAAATAAATAAGCAAAGGAGGTAAATGGTTAGCAAAAAAAAAAACCCAAAACATAAGAAGGGATAATGAATAACAAAAAAAGCACGAAGCTCAGTTTGGGTGTGCTGAGCACATATATCTTGCAAAATCAAATACGGTCAGGCCAGATCATGAATACTGCCCACATGGCCAAATGGCATAGACAGGAGAAATTGTTCAGGACTAGTTCTTCCTATAGATAGGCTGCACTTACTCTGCAGGGCATTTGGTTTGAGTTTCCATTGGACTCCACGTGGTGTTTCTGTGGCATTAAGACATTATTTTTTTCCATTTTACAGCATCAGAATGGAGTATTTAAAGCATCATGGCAATGTGCATGATGTAGATGTGGGAGGTGGGAGTGTCTGTGTGCAAAACTTTCTGGGATATACTCTTAAAGGACTCTGGATGGAGAAAGAACTAGTGTAGTGTCATCTATATTGCATTTTGGGAGAAGTCCCCAAACTGTCTGCATGTTAACTTGGACAGTCTAAAACAGATCCAGCAAGTGGAATAATAGCTAGCAGTGAGGATAGTCAGGACTCAGGGCTCCTTGGACTTTTCTGTCACTAATTACAAGTACCGTGGTATGTAAAGAGATCAGAAATAACACAAGGGTGCAGGTAGTGCCATGGTTCTGATGGGTGCCCAGTTCTCACAAGTTATCAAAAAGAAAAAAAATTTACCTTCATGCCAAAAATCTTTTTCATATAGGCTGCAAACCTCTCAGAAGCACTCAAAAGTGTACCTCCAAATGCCTGTAAAACCAGAGAATTACAAATGAAATCAGTGACCCCAAGATGGATAGCACAAATTGTACATGCTTAATGATCTGTAAAAGTGATGTCCATTAAAGACACATGGGAAAGTAGGCCGCACTGTAAACTACTACTTAGACTACAGCTGGAGGAGGTACGGCAGGATTTGATCTTGTCAAGGCCTCTTTACAGAGGACTGGAATTTTCACAGCTCTAACCTGTTCAGGCCTTCACTGCAAACTCTTAAAACACTTAATGAGCTCACTTTCCACTTATCCTTATTGATGTCCCCTTGAGTAAACTAAAATTTTAATGCTATTCTAGTTTGTTTTACTGTAAATGGATTGGGAACTAAGGTAGCTGCTTCAGGGGCAGACATGCACACTGGTTTTAAATGTACCTTCAGTTCTTCTAGATGACATAACAAAAATGTAATTCCCAGACTCTCTCCTTCCATGTGAATAGTAATAATAAATTAATTCAACTAATATTATTTGACCAGCTATGTCAAGTATTCTTTCTGAAAGACTCATCTAGGCAGCAACTGAAGAACAGAATCCCAGCCACTGATGTCAGTGAGAAACTTTACACTGGTTTCTGTTCCTTCTGGATTCCGCGCTGAATCAACACACTGAGGGTGAGGCAAGGATACCCACCTGTATCTGTAGCAAAGGCATAGGCACCAAATAGGGCTCAACAAACAATTTCTGTGGCTGCTACTGCCCTACAGAAGAGGCAGAGGAGTGGACAAAAGAAGGTGGAACTGTAGGCATCACAATATCTTTCTGTAGCTTTGTCTATACCGCTCTACCTTTACTTCCCAGATGGGATTCCAGTGGAGACAGGGCTTAATGACAAACATCTAATAACTTTATCCTACAGCTCTTATTCCTCTAAACAGTTAAAATGAATTTCATTTTTGAAAACAAAGGACTTGGAAAAGATATAGCTTTAATAAAATGGGCAGAAAGCAACTGAATTACCGTATTACAAGATGCTTAAATTCAAAGATACACCACTATACCTTTTGAACTGTACTTACAGCGCAATGTAATAGATACTGGATACATGGAGACCAATCGTACATTCCTATACAGAGGACCATATGAAATATCTTTAATGGGTTCTCTATAATCTCTTGCTGAGTAAGAAAATCATACTCAAAGAGCCTTTTACAGCGCAGGAATGTCAGCTCCTGATATTTCTCACGGGACAGTTCTTCTCCAGGATGATGTACAAAGAGAGGATCACTTTCCAGAGCAGAGAAGATTCTGTTCTTCAGGGGGAAAAAATTGACATGAGAATGTTAATCTAAAAGCGTTAACAAAACAAGTTAATATTCTTCTAGCATAATACTAGGCCTCAAGCTACATTCGTTTGATAGGAAGATATAAATTTGTAACGCCAAAACTCCAAAGAATTAAAAATATCTATTTAAATTGTCTGTCATTATATATACAGTTCATGCAGCAAAATTTTATGAAAGTTCATCATGAAGTAATAGGTGTGGGACTGATTCACTCTGAATGTAAGAGAACAGTATGGTAAAACTTACTTTTTTTTATAGCAGCTTCATTGTTTCACTATATGAAGCTGCCGGTAGGATATAAAGGGCAACAGCCCTCAGTCTGAGGATAAAGGTAAAACTCTAGAGGTTACATTTGGTTAGAAATATGCCATAATGCCATTAAGTAATCACAACTGCTCTGATCCCAGATGAAAGCGGAAATATACTCCATGTAATGGAACCATCATATGCAGCCATTCAGTATGGGGATAAGCAGGTTTTATTGATGTCATTTGGATCTTCTTTTTTATTATTAGATTATATACTATGGCACAATTTTATCTCAGATCCCTGTGTCTTCAAGATTCCCACATCTTCTTAGTTGTCTTTCATGTAATTTAGAAAAAAAAAGTGCAGTGCCTTGGGAAAAATCTTTTAAAGATATTTTTAAAGTCCTTTCCTCCTCTCTGATGAGAATGACACAGTAAGAAGGAAGAAAACCAGAGTTTCTGTGCCTCTCTTTGAAAGGTAGGGTCATTCCCTCTCTCTGTATGAACATCACTATTTGCCCACACAGCTCTGAAACTCCCTCAGACACAGAGCACTTGCGTTTTTTCTGTGCTCTTAAGTGTATCAGTCAGATGCAGAACAAGGCATTTTTCTCTGATCCACCTTCTAAGATTTTAATAATTATGGCAAATGTTCAAGATTAGCTTAAATCCATGTAAATCTATACCACCTTCAAAAAAGTCAGTTCTGTCTCCTCCCACATCTCCAAGTCATGCATTCCCACACCATCTCTTGTTCTGCAATTAACCTGTTTTTTTGGTAGGGTTAGCTTTTAGTGAGGTAGGCATGCTAAACTGTCCAACTGCAATGCCACATATGCATTAATGCAAGCACAGAAGATGACAGGAAATTATGTCAGTCGAAGACAGATATACTACGTTTGAGAGTAGAATGAATTTAGTTCATCTTAAGTGCATTGTAAAACCATGAGATATTTAATGCAAATAGTACAGTAAAGAAACATTGTAGAATATAGTTCTTTCTCAGTTTGAAATGAACATTGAAGTTCTCTAATGTAGCACCTGCTGGTCTCCCCTGTACTGATATTCAGTAATGAAATGAGCCTTATGAGACAGCAAAGTAGATTGCTTAAAAGTTCAGTTCTGCTCTGAAAATCGGATGTGGAAAAACAATGTCTTCATGTTCCATATCTTGAGAATATTATTAAAGTAAATACTCTCCCCCTTTGAAAATTACTTGCTTCTACTGATATGTCCAGAATTAAAAGATGGTTATAATTCTTGCAAAGTTTACCTTAAGCTGGATGATATCTTTGCCATCTAGTAACACTGCCATCTCCTTCCAGTTAAAGGAAGCTTTCTTACGGTATTTGCAAAGCGGTCCTTTAGGGAAATCTGGTAGCAAACTTTCCCATGAACTGTGGTTGCCAGTGGCTTCTTTCAGATTCTGTGTGGATGCCATTGTTAGCTAAACTGTATAAACCAAGAAAAGATACAAACTGAAGCACAGAGATGCCAAATTTTTAATAATAAAAATAAAAGGGTTTTTAATTAAACCATAGACTTGTTCAAATGTATGAGTATAGCAGTGCAGAGCCAACTAAAAGGTTGCCCTTCCATTTTTCTAATTCAATTGGCTTGGTACGAGCTAAAAAAAAAATTCCTTGAAGCAATGGTAAATTAATTACATGGTCTTTATTATTAAAATATGAGCTAAACCTTTTAAAATAAGCCAAATATTAAACAGGAACACCACTGGTTAATATTGCATAATAAGAAAGGAGGGATGAGATAAAAGATCCAGGAAAAAAAATAATGTCTTTAATAACATAATGTAAATAATTGTTATCTCACTTCTAATTTAAATGTAAAAAAATAAAATAGCACCCAAACATGCATACAAAGTGCTGTTCAAATGCAGGAGATGCCTGTTTTATCTCCATGTTACTAGTTAACATTTAAACAACGTCTAACTAATTGCATCGTTTATATGTTAAGGTCTGGTTTTATAGAATTGGTGAGCTGTTGTTCACACATAAACATAAGATGGAAGACATCAGCAAAAGGGTAGGAACTCTGCCCTTATCTTCCACTGGCTGAATATATGAAAGTGGATAATAAAACCTTTATTTCATGTACCCCAATTGCAAGAAACAAATTTCTGTAAAATTCTGCATATTTGCCTCTCTCTTGCCTGATCTAATCTTGTCCAGAACTGGGCTGGCTCCCACAGATCCACTTGGCTATACGAGCACTCTGCTAACTGGGTGTATCAGCCCAGGCCATTAGAACTGTGGCACTGAAACAAACAGGTGGCCTTACACAGGGAAAACAAACATTTCTAGCCCTGTATACTATTCCTTTCCTTTGTTATGGTGAACATTTAGAATTATGAAACTAGAATAATACCAACATGCTGTTCATTACTAACATTGACTTGAATGGAGCAGGTGAACGGGACAAGCAGGCGGCCTTGTCTACAATGGGTCTGTAAAAGGTACAGATAAAACCTACATAAATGAAGTAAAATAAAACTATCACAGTGACTTCTACAAAAGACTTCTAGATGCCTTTCTTCGGCATGGAAGATGCAGTTTTGGAAAAAGCATGTAAGTATGCACTTAAGTTTCATACTGCCATATTCAGGAATAAATTTTAAATAATACTAAGTATTAACTTCACAATTCAACTTCATTTTTCCCTAAGTTTAAATTTTCATTTCTGTTATTTGGTGGGTTATAACACTTTTAGTCTGTCTTCCCACTAAACATTTTTTTCTGAATACACATTTTTTCTGTGCTGTGTTGGCCTCAGACTCTTGACAATGGGATCAAAAGTGGTATGGCCCCATGAAGTCTGCTGGCATTTTGTTGTGTATATATAATGCGTCATGCAAGTGCACTGCAAAACTTCACTGAACCAGCAGGATTTCCTTATCTGTAGGTACAACCGCACGGGTTTTGGAGTGAAGGGGAATCTCCCCTTGTGTTTTACACTGGCCCAGAGTAAAGGCTTATGCCGCTAGTTGCTTCCAGAAGCAGATGTTGGAGTGCCCTCTGCTGCCACCTGCTCATATCACAACAGCAATTTCCATCCCATCACACAGATGGCAGAGACGTGTATCATGCTTATAAAATGCAAAAATGATCAGCTGGGGGCACATAAGCTGGCCACATTATAACAAGGGGATTGATTGGAAGAAGCAATTCTAAAAGGCACTGAGAGCTCAATATAGACTATGAATATAATAACCTACAGGCACTACTGGTTTGGCATTCTACTTTTTGTCACTTGCTACATTTCTTTTCTTTCAACCTAATCCTTTTATGGAGGTAATCTCCTAGTTCTGAACAGTATAGACAGAGTAGAAGAGGACTGCAGGGTAGTATTTCTGCATATGACTTCAAAGTAAGTTCTAGGAAGGTACAGTTCCAGTACAGAGCAACAGGTTTGGAAATAGAGTGGGGAAAAAAAAAGGCATTGAGAAAGAGCATTTCAACCTGAAACCAAGTAAACAGATGTTACTCTTCTAACTGGACATCAAATAAGAAGGTAAGAAGGTAAATCAGGTAGAAGTTCAAGGCTTCTGACTCAAAACAGAAATTGGCATAAATATATTGCAGTTATTGCATCTAACTTTATTTATATTGCAAATCAGTGAGGTTACTCAAATGCGAAAACTTGAGCATTCATTAAAAAAGATCCTGTACCTCAAAAAACCTGCAATTCCCCTGTCTTCACACAATGTTTTAATATAATTTGAGTCCAAGCCGTTTCAAAACGAATTAGGAAACCAAAACAGGCAGTTACAGCAGGGAAGTGACAAAGGACTGCCCTGAAGAATCTCTGTTAATTTCAGCCTTGCGATGAAGTTTCAAAATCTGCATGTGGGTGTGGCAGTAAAAAATAACACGTTATTTTTAACTTGCTGAGAACTGCTGCAGTTTCACTGAGAAATGCTGAGTTCATGTGACGTCCTGCTCAGACGAGGGAGACAAGTGACTGCACACAAACCTTTCTGTGTGGAAGGTGCTCCTGCCAGTAACTCTAATTCAGGACTGGACCACAACAATGCTATGCAAATCATGAAGGAGTTATTTCAGTTTCCAGTGTATTATAATTGATTATCTTGAGTAACAATGAATCGGCTCAGACACTTGGTAGCCATCAAGAACAATGATATCGTCAGAAATCTGTCAGAAATACCGTTACTTGCAAATGCAGAGCCGCTAGAAAATAAAATTAAAAAAAACCAAAAACAAACAACTGGCAGCTTTCCAGAGAAAGACAAGACTAGAAAGGTTAAAGGCAGGGAAGTAAACCACTTCTTTAAGAGACCTTTGAAGTTTCATTGCACAACCGCTATTTGAACTACCCGCACCCAGGGCTGGGCTGCGTTTCTGCTCGAAGTTTGTGTGTGTGGGAAGTTTACTTCTACTCCAAAAAATGTACCTAGATTTGCCTCCTTGAAGCGTCGGGCAGCTGGTGGCCTGTCAGGGGCCTGTCAGGCTGTCAGTCAGCGTTCCCAGTTTTGAGTCCGGCTCTCAGAAAGGCGTTTCTGCGCCGAGGTATCGTAGCCGCTGTCACAACGACACAGACCTTCCTCAACTAAAAGCCATAAATAAGGCAAAAATCCTCCAGCCTGTACTTGCTTCTGGGACAGACGGTACCCCGCGTTTTCCAGCGGCGGCAGCTGCGGCTCCCCGGGGAGCGCTGACGGGAGCAGCCTGCGCCGCGCTCCGGCTCCTCCCCCT